CTCCTCCCCAACCAACCAGCTTCCAGCACACTCCATCACACCAGCCACAAACCCCTCACCATTCTCTGGACTGTCCCACCTGTGCACCTCACTCCTGCTGTTCCTTCCCTCTGTGATGCTGTTCCCTCTTCTCTGTCATGTCAAGTCTGATGCATCTTCAGAGGCCTGCCTCAAATGCCATCTCCTCTAGAAAGCCTCCCACTGTGTCCTGCACCTCAAACGGTTAACTGCTCACTCCAGATTCTCCTGTAACCTTTCCAAAGGCCTAGACCCCACAGTACTTAACAAGTTCTATTACCTACATGCTTTGTGTCTTTTTCCTCTGTTTATCTTATAAACATCTGCAGAAGAAACAAATCTTGGCAAGCCTTGCTCAGAAAGTGATTTAGGTTGGGACTAGGAAGTTTCCCACTCCCTGCCTCCTTGGATGATTCAGGCTTTTATCAATCTAAAACTGAAACAAAGATCCTGGCTTCCAAATGGCACCAAGCTGCGCTGTTCCATCGCAGGGTGAGGGTGACTCTTGCTTAGCCTGGCTCCAGCCCGGAGACCAAAGGCCCTTCCAAGTATCGGGTTCAGTGAGGAAAAAAGAAATCTGCAATCATTTATAGGACATCTATTGTGCATTCCATACCATAAGCCTTGGCCCCGGCCTTCAGGAATTTTACAACTATCCCGAGCACATCCCAGATCTCAGCTTCAGTCGCTGTGAAAGAGAACCTCGAGTAAGCATTTTTCCACCTGGGAAACATAAAGGGAGAGGCTCTCTTCCTCCTACGATCTTGCAGGTCAGACAGACCCTCGCTACCGTTCAGAAGCTGTGCGATCCTCGCAAGTTGCTTAGCTCTTGTGGGCCTCAGTTAACTTATCTAAAAAATGGGATTCTCAGATACCTTCCTTTCAGGATTGCTGTGAAGATTCCATGAGATGTGTGTCCTGAAGAGTCACTGACATGTGTTACACATTCTATGAACAGTAACTTTCTTCCTTTCTCTTTCCCTTCCTTCTTTCCTTCTTACCTCCCCCTTCTCTCCATCCTTCCTCCTGGAGCCTACCTTTCGGGGAAGTAAATTTACTTCAACACATTAAGACTGGATCAATAAGAGTTCAATAATAATAATAATAATATTACAATAATAATAATAATTACTATTATTAAATACTGACAGGTCAAAAGATTATATTGACTGGTCCTCAGAGGCCCTAGGAAGGCTCACAGACCGCTGGTACCTTGTGGAAGCTTCCTAGACTCAGCATTTACCAGTTCCTGGTCAGCCCCCGGCTGAGCATCTGTCTTCTCGGAACATGGTAATCACAGAGCCAAGTAGAAACGCTAAAGAAAGAACCAGGCAGGGCAGGGCCGAACCACATGAGTGATGCTGGGAAGATTTCAGGGAACCCACGAGAGGACTGGGAGGTGGGCGAGGCAGGACAAGCTGTCTTGCCCTTGCTGGCATTTGAGAGGCAATTATGCCCTATTAATGGCTGACAGCCCAGCTCTGCCTTGCAGTCTGAGCTGAGCCGGGCGGCCCACAGATGTGCTCGGCCCACAAATATGCAGTTGGCAACTCCTGAACTTTCGGTGACTTGACGCCAGCTGATCTGATCAGCAATTACGTTTTATTTTAGGGCCAGGAAGACAACAGAGAACCAGGAAAATTATAAGACATCAGAGTGCAGTTTTTCTAAGAATATCAACTACAAACTTTTTTTTTTTCATGGATTGTTGTAACAGTTGGGGGTTTGCAAAGCACTAAAATAAGAAAACCTTGGACACTAAAATCAGATTATAGCCAGTCTTCCTAAGGGAGCTTTTAAGCCTTTGTCCAATGAAAATCTGGGTGTGATTTTTTTTTTTTTTTTGGATGGAGTAACTCCTGCCGAGAGAACTTTGCTGTGACAGTGACTACAGCATGGAGATAAATGGATTTGTAGTCTGTCCTGGGTTTGAACCTTTACTCTGATTCTTACCAGCTGTGTGACTTTAGGCATGTAGGCATTTCTCTCCTTGACCTCAGTTCTCCCAAACATAAAACGGGGGTGTAATACCTAGCTTGGGGCTTAATACAAGCATCTGACGAGATGTTCATAAGCATCTAGAAAGCATCCGGTCTACAGCACCAGTACACGGCAACCAAGATGGTGCCTTCTTGCTGTAATGTTGGTTTCTTATCATCTAAAATAAACAGTTCCTGCTTTCACTGCCATATCAAACCCAAATAACCAGTCAGCAGAAAAAGGGGAAACGGCACCTCCAGGAGCAGTTGGGACTCTAGCAATTACAAGGTTTGTCCTCTGCCTCCGTGATAACATCAGTCCAGGCTTAGCGGCTTCCACAGCTTGGCTGGGAGGGGAACGGGAGAAACCACAGCCAAGGCCGATTGGGTGCACTGTTTGTCAATGTCTTGTGGACACAAAACCTAACCCGACTCAACAAGGTGCTCACTCCCTTCTGTCCTCTGAACTCCCCAGCCCGCAACGACCCCCAAAGATCACCAAGATGGTTTCTCCGAGCAGCACCACTGACTGAACTTGCGTGGGAAGAGAATATAATTGCAGCCTGTAAAGGAAATCAGCCTAAGAAAAAACATCCTGGGACAACATCCCGAGGAAACGGGGAGATCTTCCTGCAGGAACATTTTCCTGGTTACCAGCAAAAGGGGCCAGACAGCTTGCCCATGACATTCTGGAGAAGGGTGGTGACTCACCCACCTACGCCCGCACAAATGGCTCCCAGAGCTGCCTCTCCAGCCCCACCTCCCCAACTAGTCCCCCAGGTCCGAGGCTCCTGCTCAGTGAGCATCTCACTCAACACCACCAGATGGAAGAGATAACCTCTTCCCAGGAAGGTTCTCTGCCCTTTGATTGGGTTACACATGGACCAAGCAGGGTCTCCCTTGCCAGGCAGCTTACTCAAGTCAACCCTGGAATAATAAAGAGAATCAGACGCAGAAGGCTAACCACACAGGCCCTGCTGGCCCTTTTGTGACCAGCACGTGGTACATGCAGCACGCAGTGGGGCACTTGTAATAGTGGAGAGAAAAATGAATGAGTGAATGAATGAATGTGTCTGGGAATGAACAAATTTCACAGAGGGCACCAAGCAAAGCACATCTTCTCGTGCAGCACTGCAAGGAAGGAACTGTTAGCACATAAAGGAGGAACGCAGCCTCAGGGCAGTTAAGGGTCTTGCCCACGCTAACGTAGCTGGCAAATGAGGACACCAGGCTTTGAACCCAGCCTAAATTCTAAAGGCAAGGCTTCCGATATTGAAGCCATTCTCATGACCACGATAATGACGAATCATGTTTACACAGCCCCTGATACGTCAGTTATTTCCTCCTCCCAACATTCCAGGGAGATGCAAAAGCTGGCCCCTAAAGAGAACTCACCACACATTCAAGGTTGCACAAGCAGCTGGCAGTGAAGCAGGAGTTCGAACCTGGACTTCCATGCTTTCAATCATAGATATTTAGGGGCACCAGCTAGGGGTCAAGGCTAAAGATACAACAGTGACCAGCACAGTCTGTGGACTTCCTGCCCAGAGGGGCTTCAGAAATAGCTCTTCCCATGACACCATATGTTACCCACAAAATTTCCTCAGGAAAGCAGGAGTGCTTCAGCAGTTTTGTTTTGAAGGAGAAAGTGATCTGAGAGCAGATGATGTCTACTAAAAGACAGAGAAGGTTTGCATCTCACTAGCACGTGCTGTTTTCCCCATGGCTCACCAGAAACCCTCTCCTCCGTCAACGCTGGTGCTGCCTCTTCCCTAGGACCCTGTGTGAACAGGCTGGGAGACTTTCCTATAATTACCAGACTATTTGGGCACCAGACAAAACTCAAATCCAAATTCCCTGCTGAGTCACCAGAGCGCCCAGTAAAGGAGGCCTCAGGCAATCTGAGTTTGCAATGACCTGCCTAATCTGGCCTCATTGTGCTGAGCTCCAAAGTGGTGGGGCTGACAGGGAAGTGAAATCAAAGGGTTAGGCCACCCTTTTTGGCACAAACACAGGGATCCATTTTTTTCCAGAAGGGAGTGCGGGTGAAAGACAGGAAAGAGATGTGGGATCACAAAGTTCTCAGGCTCATCCTTCTGCAAGACTTCTGGGGATTCAGCACTTTTGAGGACCAAACATTATCTTCCTCCACCAATCACCTTGCTCACAGGAGTATAAAATTAAGAATTTGATACAAATTAAAACTCTGAGATTAGAGTTAAAGCAATACATTTTTCTCCCCTTTGTCAGCAGCTATCAAAGGTCAGCTGATGGGCCACGAGTTGTTCATTCACCAGCTCTTGGCATCACGAGCTAACTAACGTTCCCGCGAAAGGACCACCCTTGGAGTCCGCACATCAAGACCCAAACACATCACCAAGGCCATCACCACGACAGCCAGGTCACCTCTTTGCTCCTAGCTTTCCACAGAGGACAATTTTGCCTTGGTTGGAACTTACTTTGCTCAAAGAGGAACTCTTTTCATCATCAAGTCCGAACTTACCATGACAGTCACGTAGCAAAAAGTCCCCCCATGAGGGATTCTTGTCAAACTGGTGCAGCGCAGTAGGACTCTTGGGGGCATTGTCGGGCTCGGATAATTGGATGTGGGAGCAGGGCGGTGAGTTCGTCCCCATGTGAGCCTTCTTTGGGGGTGCCAAGGGGGAGACCCCACAGCCTGGCAGGCTCTGTAATTTCAGAGTCCCCCTTGCTGGCACCTGTGACCGTGTGGCTCCCAGGGATCCAAAACCTGGGCAGGTCTGAAAGCTCAGTCCAGCACTCCACCAAGCCGTTCCTCTAATTCTAACTATCTCTGACTAGAACTTCAGAGCCATTCCGTAGAGAAAGGGTGACCGAGACAGCAGCCACGGAAGGTAAAATGGCAAGCAAATCCCCAAAAGAACTGAATTCTGGAGTTTTCCAACCCCACCCTGTAATCCCCCACTCCAGAGAAACCGACACATGGAGACAGAGCTGAGCAGCAAGGCAGGTCGCAAGGCTTACCTGGGTCGGGCTGTACAGCTCCTGCAGGGGGCTTCGCGACCCCTTCCGGCAGCAGATGTCCACACCAAAGGGGCTCCTCCGCATGACTGAGGAGAGAAAGTGAAGGCTCATCAGAAATGGGCAACCAGTGTCTGCCAACTGACACAGAAAAAGGCCCAGAGGAGGAGAGAAGAAACGGGGAGGGGGAAGGGAGAGAGACTGGGCTTCTGGCAGAGCTGTTCCTTCATCCAGCACCATGGGGCCGCTGTGTCTTCCCCAACATTCAGGTCTGTCCACACCCAGAGGGACATAAATCATGCTGAAAATTCTTCCCAGCAAATCCTTGAGAAAATAAGACAGGCATCGGAAACGCTCAAATGAAGCCACTTGCAGAATACAGGGTAAAAGTTGTCCCCAGAGAGTGAGTTCTGCCAACAGCAAGCTGGGTGCTATTTTTAAAATTTTGCACCTCCTCCCTCAGCAACCAGTTATGACCTCTTATTCCTGGTCCCCGAGCTGGGTGGTGAGTTCACCCCGGTGGGAGCCTCCTTGGAGGGTGCCGGGGGGGGGGGGGGCGGAAACGGCGCAGGGCCTTCCCACTGGCTAAGTCAGAGGCCTGGCCTCCCCAAAGCCTCTTGTAGATAGGTTATTGTTCATGAAAATATCAGGTTAAGGCAGACAGGATGAGGGTGTATGTTTCTAGACTGACAGAGAGAGCTCTTACAATTAACAAAAGAGGGGGAATTAAGCAAATGTCTCAAAAACCCAACAGCACTGAGGACACCAAGAACCGTTTTTAAAAGGAAAGACTCTTTTTTCATTCTTCTTGTTCACAAAACACCTTCAATTCATGCAGTCCCTCACACAGTGTCTAACACATAGTCACCTGCTTGATAATTATTTGTCGAAGGGACAGAGGGAGGGAGGGAAAGATGGAGGAGGGAGGGATGAATTAATGAAGTAACAAGTGCTTTCTTCCCATGCAGGAGGCCGTTTTCCTGTGGAATAACAGGGCGGGGCACGAGCAGAACAAGGAAAGCAGACCCATGCACGGGTCTAAAGAGTTCAGCCCTGTGTACTGGCAGCGGGGCAGGCAGCCCGCGTTTGGATCTTGACTCCACCTCATACCTGCTGTGTGACCTTAGGCAAGATACCTAACCTTTCTGTGCCTCTGTTTCTTCACCTGTAAAATGAAAGTGAGAAAAGGAGCTCCCTCCCTGGGTTGGTTGTGAAGATTAAATGAGTTATTATTCTCTGCACTGGCCAAAAAGTGTTTGTTATAAATTTCTAAAGCTACTGGAGATTATAAACTAGATTTACACATCACTTATGACAAAAAGTACCTGCCTCCTGGGAGGGAAAGTGGGAATGTCTCTATTTTTGAGACATCAAGGGAGCTGATGAGAAGTTACCTGACCTCGAGCCAGGCTTTGGGATTCTCTGACAGGAAAGCCAGGCAGCCAAAGAGGGCTGACCGGAGGGGGCTATCGCAGGCCCCTCTGCTCAGAAGCCAATCTGCGGTCAGAAAAGCCAGGAAAGCCATCTCCTCAAGTAGCCGATTACTTCTGGAAGGTCTCCAGGCTCCTTCTCATGCAGTTCTCCTTTGACTTGTCCCTCTGAGCCCCATAGGAACCCTGAGAGTGATCATCAATTCCAAGAAACTTGAAGCCGTCTCCTCTCCTCTCCTTTACTTCCTAGAGCGGGGTCGGCCAACCGTACCCATAAAGGGCGAGCGAGTACTTGGCTTTGAATCACACAGCATATGGGAACTCCTCAGTCTGGCCGGGGCCGTGCAGACGCCGCCCCAGACGGCACAGGAATGAACGGGTGGGGCCGCGTGCCAAAACACCTCCACTTCTGGACACAGAAATCCGAAGTCTATGTAATTCCCACATGCTAGGAGATCTTCTTTTGATTTTTTTCCAAGCGTTTCACAGAAACAGGCGGTGGGCCGGATATGGCCCCTGGGCTGTAGTTTGCTGACCCCTGCCCTCGGGTCGGCAGTACAAGCCCCAAACACACCCGACATGCCCTGTAGCCCCCTCTGGGGAGGGGGGAACCTGCAGGCAAGTGTCCACACATAAAAGCCATTAGAATTTGATTAAGTGGTCCGGGGAAACACTGGTTCTTTGTTCCTCCATGGTTGCCTCGAGAAGAGGAGGGTAAAATCCACGTTGTGTTTTTCTTTAATTTATTACTTCATTTTTCATTTCCACCCCAAACCAGGTAAACTGTTAAATGTATGCAGGTTGCCCTTGGTGCACAATGACCTAGCAACACTCTGGAGGAGAAAAAACAGCCATAAAACCTGTAAAATCATGCCCACGCCGTGCAAGGTTAAATTCTCCCCATGGCGGCAGTCTCCCCAAGACCTGTGGCTACAGGACCGCCACGGAGAAAACCCCACCA